AACTTAACTAATTCATACATTTTCGTTTTAGTCAAATATAAAAACTGATCTATCAAAAGTATTCAAAGCCTAATTCTCTTAAATTAAACATTCCTTCTGATTATTCTAATAGCAGTCAAAAAATAAAGTGAAACGAGATAAAATTAAAAAATAAATAAATAAATAAATAAGAAGTACATGTAACATTGCACAATATTATTTCTAGGTATTTGTAGAAAAGAAGATTCGATTAGCCCTTCATATCCCAGAAATAACTGACATGTAACTTCTCCCTAAGATATCCCCACATTTTCTAGCAAACAGTGAATGAGAATATGAAATATTTATCAGGAAGAAGTTTTTATCTTGATCTTACACCAGTTAGCAACATCTTGTAGCTAATTTACTTGAGGAATCGTGTAGTAGCAAGATCACTTCCACAGATCTTGAGAGTTCACTGGCTAATGTCTGATTTAGATGTAATTTATTTACCTGGTGATGTCTTCCACAAGGGCAGTTGGGTTTGGTGGATAAAACTTGACAGCAAAGTAGAAATGGTATGGCTCTAAGATATAACCACATGCATTTTTTAAACACACTGTTAGAAAAGATTTATAACATAAATGTGACCCAGCATATGATTTCTGCAACAAAGGTGATAACACGCTCACAACACGCCAACACAACACACATAGCGTGTCCAATAAGTTATACACTAGTGTGCTGTCTCTGCTCACACACACTGTGCATATTTGCCTGCTCATGCTTTACTGTTCAACGGCAAACGCTCTATTGTTTGTAGTGTGTTCTAAAAGCATATAAGCTGATTAAAGTGTGCTCTCACGTGCTCAGCAAGCATGGTATACCCTGTTTCTTTTGTTTACAAGTGGAAGTATGTTGTGAGTGTGCCATCACCTTTGTCCCTAAAATCATAGGGAGAGTAACAAATTTAGTTACAAAGAGTAAAATGATACTGTACAAGCCTTACCATGTTTCAACTGTTTCTTAATTGGTCTGAGTGGATCAAGCCAGTTGTACTACAACCAAGAAAAGATTGTACTGGTATAAATATCAATGGGTATAATTATTAATTCAAGTACATCAAGGGTAGAAGGGTAGAAGGTGTTAGAGATGATTCATAGGTATAAATCTATGGTACAATCCAGGACTGGCAGCCAGCCAGCTAACTATTTTCTGTTTCACCCTATTTTACCACTTTAAGTACTGATGAAAAGCGGTACAATTATTACAATATCATAAAGGAATAATGCAAAGTAGCCAATTCCCAGTTTTGAGTGCAATTGAATTCATAAATTGCCAGTAACAGGTTTTGATTCCCAAATCAATGCTATGTTTAGAATTTTTTCAATTAGGTTTCTGGGAACTTCATGAGATACATACTTAGGAAATTTTAAGTATGAGTTAGCAGTCTTGCATTTTAACCCATCTTCGATATATATTTTTTTGATCTTGTCATCTATCTGTATGGAAATGCAGTGACACTGTCATAAGAAATTTCTTTTGGCTCATTCCCAGGAGTAAAAGGGTTAAAAAAAACAAAAAAAAAACAAAAAAACAAAAAAACCATATAAAGTACCTGTCCATCTTTTTCATCAATGTACCGCAAACCAAAGTAGTCCTTCTCAGCAACTTCAATCTTCTCACAGATCTTGTCAAACAAAACTAGACCCTTTGCATTTTTCTAAAAATTAAACATTGAATTTTCAGTGCTGAACATTTTCTTCAAATTTATTTCATCAACAATAACTGGTTGACAATGCTATAATTAAAAGCTGACAAGACAAGAAAGGGTAAAATTTTGTTTACAATACCGCAAGGTTAACCCTATGACCCTTTCCAGTGATTAGTATCTAATTTCTCCCCATGATATCACCCTTGAATCACACATTAAATTTGCGAGAAGAGAGGAAAATATCACCACCTTAAGAAGCTCTTGATCGTTAAACAATTTCTCTTTGTAAATGTGATCATGAAAGGCAAAACAGACACTATCGGTCATCTGTTCAAAGCATTCAACAATCTGTTTGAATGGTTTGCAAATCTGATTGAAATACATTAGCATCCTTTCAAAGTATTGCGACATCTGTTCGAACAGTTTTTGCATCTGTTTGCAAACTAGAAGTGTCAGTGCAGAGAACTGCACCATCCATTCGAACGGTTTGACATCCCTTCTATTCATCTGTTCAAAATGAGAAAATGCATTCATCGTTTCTCAACAGCAGTTGAAACATTGCAATCCACATCTATGTGACTAAATCGTACGACAACGATTAACTCAGCTCTCATTTTAAATTGATGAGAAATTGAAATAATCTCCTTTTTTGATTGTGAGAATAAAGGCCTTGAAATTGACAACAATGACAAATGAAATGAAAACAATACACAGCAACATTACCTGTTCCATGATCAGGCCATGTACTCAGAACAGTTTCACAAACCATTTATTCACCTGTACGATTAGTAAAACCAATTGTACGGATTGATAATATTTTCATCCATTTGAACAGCTTGCCCATCTGTTTGACATTATCTGTTTTACTCATCCGTTCAAATGGCTAAGTAAACCGTTCGAATAATTTATTCACTCATTCGAACAGATAGGCAACCGTATGAACACTTCAGAGACTGTTCTTTAACCATTCGTCATCCATGCATTTTTATCGTTTGAACGGTTTTCCGCTACCGTCAGTTTTGCCTTTCACAGAAAACAGAGTGGAGAATGTTCATACTGATATTTGGGTGCAAAGTATTCTGAGACAATCCACTCCAGAACAATTGACCTTACAATGCCAGTGTTTACAATGTTTGAGTAGATTGCCAGAGTACACAGTAAAAAGACATTTTGGCAATTAAAAGAGGTGAGAGTCCAATCTTGCCCATAAAAATATACTAAATTAATTAAATTAAATACAGTATTTGGTTGTATAGAAAGCCTTCAACTAGTCTTGAGCTGTATACAAAGCGAGCAAAAAAAGTTCATATAACGAAATGCTCAAAACTAAGTCCTAACTCTGAAAGCAAGTGTCTGCATCAACTTTTAAGTCCAACACTCATGTTGATCAAAACAGGTACACACATGCATAAAAGAATCTGCTGATCAGAAGATAGTTACAGCTATTCCAAATGAAAGCAAGTACGAAAGGCACTGTATGAAATGGTACTGGCACTGTTTTCACATACCAATAAATAAATTAAACTAAAATCCATTGATCAAGTGTAAAATTGATGTCAAAAATGGTGATGGCAAGAGAGGTTTCATGCTAGGTTGATGCTGGCAATATTTCCGCACCCTTCAATAGGGATAAAAAAAAAATTATGAAGACAAGATTGTCTTTCTGACTACAGCCTTGTTTCAGAATATTATGAGGTTACACAGAAGTCTTTCCAATTCTAGTTCTATCTGAAAACTATTTTGGTTTCCTTCAGACATATAATAATCTCTACTTCAAACAAAGAGAAAACGACTCAAATCACTTAAAAAAATTTTATAATGAAGCTAATTTTAAACCATGACATATAAAATCTAATGCACTACTGAAAAGTAAAATGTTCATAAAAACATGGATTAGTTAACTCTCACATATATTTACAGCTGTATTAGGCACAAGGTGTTTACACCACGCTTTAATAGAATTGGCCAAAGAACAACATTGTGTTGTTACAGGAATAAACAACAGAGCCAGGAATTTAACAAGAGGATATCAAATGATCAACACATGATTCTTTTCTTTCTAACATTTTTTCTTGACAAGGATAATGATTTTTAAGTGATGTTCAGTTCACAACTACCTTTAGTATTTGTTATTCCGCCCAAGCGACGAAAGAAAATCATGAATAAAACAGTTTAGGCAAGCCATCTTTGAAAATTAATTACTGTAATTAACGCGCGATAGTAGAGCTCGATCGTTGAATGCGTACCACCATTAAACATTTAAACAAGTATGAAAAATAAAACAGACCTTCTGATTGTTGCATAGTTTGCATTCTATCTGGGCTCATGGCATATAAGTTCGTTCTTTTTTAAATAACAGTCAAACCCTCCGCCACCAAACACGATAATGAATATTTTGCATAATACACTTTCGCCTTCTAATCTTTTAGTTTCCCTCGCCCATGATTAAAAATTAGCAGGTTCTTTATCGAGTTTAGAGATTAACCGTTACCAACAAATTACATAAAATCGCTAAACAGTGACAGAAGCTATTATAAACCAAAATGAATACCATTTGATGGATACAACAACATTGCATCCGAATCAAAGCAACACTAGGTCTACCGCAAAAAGGGCACAAAACACTTACATCTAGATCCAAAATCGTGCTCTGATCATCTAGCAATTGAACTTCACAATGCAACGTGCTCGACCTTCCCATTTTGGTGCAAAATGTGCGCTGATTTGAGGTAAAAGGAGAAGAGAGACAGAGTTCAACTGCGTCGAGAAGATTCCAACCCACCCCACGCCAAAACGCCTCGATTTCAATCTGTTTTGGTTCCGTTGCATTCTGGTCAGGGAAGAAACTTTTTACCGTCCTAAGTGGGTTGGGGAATGGTTAAAGACTAGTGTCCAAGCCTACTCCACGATCTGCATGCGAGGATGCCAGAAACCGGACACCAGTGAATGACAATGAGTTTGAAAGAGGTTTGCTAGGTTAGATAATCACATCAAACTATAATAGCATAAAACATGATCCATTTGGTAAAATATATGATGAATTTATTTCAGAATGAATTTGAAATCTGAGCGACAGATGAGCGAACGGATTTGCTCTTTGGACCGAGACGTGACCATAGACAGCATGATCTCGACACCAAAATAACGATTATCGTTATTTCTTAATTGGCCCTGAAATAACGAATAGCAGAATAGCATAATTTCAGTGCATGTGTGAGACCTTCGGGCTCGAAGCTTGGGAACTAGTATTCAGGGAAAGATAAAATGGCGGCTTGAAAAGGCTTGGGTGTTGTGATCTGGTTCTCAAGTAAAAAAAATCACGGTCTGCAATGGCCCCACCACCTTTTGAACAACAAGAAAACATTGAAACGGTGGTAAAAAGGAGCAAGTTTCGAAGTCTAAACGAAAGATGGGTAAGCTGAGTTTCAGTCAAATATCATGACATTTGGGATGTAATTTCGATACCGAATAAATAGTTCTACATGATTATATATACACGCGTAGGATTCTATTGTGTTCACGTGAAGGCCATTTCAGCCATTCCTGCCACTTGTAAGTGGTAGGAAATAAAAGATATGTATACTTGTTTCGTATTGAAGCCCTGTGAAATCACAAATTTGATTTATTTCTTCTTTGTTTTAGGTGGTCATTATCCATTATTTTTGGAAGTCGATGCTGATGAGAAAGAAAAAATGTTTACGATTATTTCTTCTCTCGAACATTTTACTATTTAGGTACCAAATAATCTTGATACTGAAGATCATTGCATCCTATTATGAAAAAGCTTGTCTCCATTGTTTTTTCGCAGATTCTATCGCTGGTTTGCTGAAAACATAACGTTTAAGCTTGTTTGCATCGTTTTTGGTCGTGAAATAAGCTAATTTTTGCAAAAGGAACAAAAACGTGTTTTTCAGCCCAAATTGACATAAAGGATACAGAAGAACATTTGCTTATTGCCTTTTTTTTTGTCCTTACTCATGAAGTTGATTTTGGCATTTCAAACAAAAACTCTGCTAGAGCATTAATTGAATGACATATCATGCACTTACTTTGAAGCAAAAACACTTTTTTTTTAATTCAGAAAAATACCTTTTTATTTTTTTAAGGACTGCTGGATATAACCTGTACAACCAAGATGAATTTACATTCATTATTTGTCATAACTTACACTAAATTAGAAATTCAAGTATGAAATGAGGGTACTAGCCCTTTAATAGTGTTCAAAATGTCCATATGCAGGGGTACTTGTGGCTACTGGAGAAGAATCAGTCTTTAACCCTTCACCCCCCCCCCCTCAAGGGAGATAATAGGTACAGATATCCTCTTCCCTAGGGGCAACTAGCTCAAAAGTGAGTGATCTCAGGGGCCCACCAAAAAAGTTTTCTACAGCAATAACTAAGCTCTACAGAAGCACACTATGCAGACAAAAGGTGTAAGAGAATCAATAAATTCTTTAGTTCTTGGTCCCTCCCAGGCCAACCTATTGTACAAATCTCATGACATCTGTTCCAGTTTCATCAATCAATTTTTCAAGCTTCAAGCTTTTCCTGCAATTATGTACTTGTTCTTGAAGCTGAAAATTAACAAGGTTCCTGTAAATTAAGTTTACATAACAACCTAACAATTTGTGAAAATCACACAAATCCCAAGCTATATCCAGAATTATGCTCTTAATAAAATAAACTTTTAAAGCAAATTGGGATTTTGCCCTAGTTCTTTTTTATTTTTTTGTTACTTTTTAAATACATTTTTAAATACATTTGTAGAAATAGAAAAGATGCAAACTCTTAAGAATGATCAAGCTTTACCTTATTATTAAAAATTTTTACATCTTAGACTACCAAGTTATCACAGAGGTTTTTTTCAGTACTTTGACCTGTTTAACACCTAAAAAGAAGAACACATACATAACACACACAATCAGCCAGGTCAAAATGTGCTGCAGCCAACAATTTGGCCACCTACAATGAAATAGCTGCCAATTTCACACATGTCAGACTTCTATTCAGGACAAGATTTGGCCTCTGCTGCCTATTACTATTGCCAGCTTGCCTGCCACTCAAAATTTCAACTGAGATTGTACATACATACATGTGGGATTACGTTACATGAGTGAACCTGTACTATTGAAAGAGGTCAACGAATTATAACTCAAAGAAACATTGATAAATGAAATAAATCAATAGAAATGACAAAAATTAAACTAACAGCAGACAGCACTTTTTTGGCCTTCGGGGCCTGATCAGTGCAGTGATCTTCAACTAAGTGCTTAATTTGGACATAAAACCAAAACTTGTTATGGTTAAATATTATTATTTTTCTTTCAATATTCCCATTCCAGTTGATGTATATTATTTGAATAACAAATCTTATTAGCATGTTAAAATCACCTGAGGACAAGGCATGCACTTTGTGCCAAAATTGCTTTGCATCAAGTACGTTATCTAGTACATCATTACCATCTTCAGGTATTTCTAATTTACTCTTGAAAATCACACAGATCATAAGCTATATACAGCATACAATTGGCAGCAAATTATTAAAAAGGAATGCAGTAATCTTTAATAATAAGATTACTTAGTAGCTAAATAACAAATAGCCTAGTCAAAATGTGCCGGTAACCACGGATTTGGCTGTCCACACAGAACATTTGTTAGGCATCTAGTCTGGACAAGGTTTGGCCTCTACCTTCTATTACTATAGCCAGCTTGCCTACTTCTAAAAAACATTTTGACTAGGCTGAAAAAAATGTTTGAGAGAAAAATGGCCACAATAAGCCCACTTACTGCAAAATAAGAAACATAAAAGTAACACTTCAAATTAATACAGAATATAAACCTTGCAGGATTTGGCTCTCAATAAAATTAGTTAAAATAGCTGATCTTGAGTTTAACTACTCACTCAAAATGGGCTGACAGCCTGCAATTTGGCTGCCTACGATGAAGTATCTTCCATTGACTTCACACCTTTCAGACTGCTTTTTAGGATGAGGTTTGGCCTCTGCTACCTATAATTACAACAGCCAGCTTATCTTCTACTAAAGAACATTTTGACTGGGCTGTGCAAGTGTTACTAGCATATAAAAAGCACCTTCAGGTAGATTACAGCAAAGCAGACTTTGTACCAAAACACTTTCCATTAAGTAAATCATTACCCTCTACAGGTATTTCTAGTTTACATGTAAAAATCCCACAAATCACAAGGTATATTACATCATACATGTTGACAAAGCAATCAGGGGTAAATTTTTCATAATAGGATGCAATGATCTTCAGTATCAAGATTATTTGGTACCTAAATAGTAAAATGTTCGAGAGAAGAAATAATCGTAAACATTTTTTCTTTCTCATCAGCATCGACTTCCAAAAATAATGGATAATGACCACCTAAAACAAAGAAGAAATAAATCAAATTTGTGATTTCACAGGGCTTCAATACGAAACAAGTATGCATATCTTTTATTTCCTACCACTTACAAGTGGCAGGAATGGCTGAAATGGCCTTCACGTGAACACAACAGAATCCTATGCGTGTATAACCATGTAGAACTATTTATTCGGTATCGAAATTACATCCCAAATGTCATGATATTTGACTGAAACTCAGCTTACCCATCTTTCGTTTAGACTTCGAAACTTGCTGCTTTTTACCACCGTTTCAATGTTTTCTTGTTGTTCAAAAGGTGGTAGGGCCATTGCAGACCGTGATTTTTTTTACTTGAGAACCAGATCACAACACCCAAGCCTTTTCACGCTAAAATATTAAACTACTGAGATTTCCTTCGCCGCCGTAAGCCGCCATTTTATCTTTCCCTGAATACTAGTTCCCAAGCTTCGAGCCCGAAGGTCTCACACATGCACTGAAATTACGCTATTCGCTATTTCAGGGCCAATTAAGAAATAACGATAATCGTTATTTTGGTCTCGAGATCATGTTGGATCACTGGGGAATCCCCTGACAAAGTGTTTACATGATTATACAATTCAGCACCACTGGCTGCGTAAAATTTGCTTTTTACTTTCGAAAGTGACAACAGTGAAGCACGAGAGTCGAAGATGTCTTCGGCTCAATCAAACCACTTCTAATCGCTTTTTTTATCGCTGAGACTTAACGGATAAATAACACTTAAAGTCGACGAGAAAGTTCTTGCCCACTTAGCACAGAAATATTTTGCTCCTTTGACGAACGGAATTCAGAGGAAAGCAGACGATGCGTTTCACCACTCGACATGGTTAACAGTGTTCGAGACTTCGACGAAGGTGTACAAAACGGCTTCGATTCAAGCACATTGGATTGCGATAGTAAAAACGTTCACAACTGTCATTCAAGCGGGGAAGGAGACGTGATGAATACTAGCGAAGAGGCTTCTGGTTTGAACTTAAATATTGACGCATCTTTCGTGCAAATAGGAAGAAGAAATACGACGAACTTTGATTCCTTGGATCCTTCACTCGCTACGCAAAATTCTGGAGAGGGAAGTCACAATGATAAGCTTGCTCCAGTGTTGAGAGAACTATCGAAGCCCCGAGATGAACGTCTGAACTTTAGTCGTAGAAGGAACGGCTTTCCTGATCTCCGCGAAGATCATTTGGTAGAAATATTGGTTTGTAGGAACCAAGACTCATCAGAAGCGCTCGACATCGCAGACAAGTACGACGTCAGTGTATCAGTAAGCCACGTTGAGCCTAGCGAATCTTTCCTGAAAATTCCTGACTTCCAGAGCGAACGAATAAAAAGCGAAAATAAAAGCTTAGCGAACGGAAATATGATCGGGGTTGTTGGATTTCTGTTCCGCTTTCACGAACCGAACACCAAGTACAAGATAACGTTCTTTCTTCACCCCATTCATTCAAAAAGGCGAGGAAGAAAGAAAAACTTATGGACGACTTCCGTGAATGAAACGATCAGTGAAATCTCCCTCACACTAGAAACAGGGAACATGATCCCGTCAAGATCTGGGAAGACTGGAAAAAAAGTGAAAGCTGCGAGAATTGTTCCGCCTTCGCTTGAGTTGACCGCAGCTCCCCTCTCAGAAGAGCGCACAGTACTCTACCAAAGATCCTTAAGGGTGATGAAGGGACTACAGTCTCTCCGTGACAATGCCAAGTGGGATGATTTTGACAAACACGCGAACGATCTGTTGTTAGAGTTTGCTGATGCAGACACTCAAATAGGTATTAAACTGGAACAAAGCGTGGTAGCTTGTTACCGAAACCAGCTAGAGATCTCTCTTCAGATTATCGATGATGCATTCAGCATGATTGATCGCGCGGAAAATCAAGAACTTCTCCGTAGTAGAGGTTTTAGTTATAAGGCCGGCGTGAAGAGGCGACAGAGGAACTTAGGAGAGGCTGAACGGTTCGTGGATCTTGCAGAACAGAACAGTCAAGGGTGTCACGCGCATCTCGACACGAGTTTCATCGTTTATGAACGCGCGGGTGTTCTGCTGGAGTTCATTGCGCTCACAGCTTTTAGAAGCCCGCAACAGGTGAATGAAGCTTTAAGAAATCTGGAAACATGTATTGACCTCTGCACAAAGCTGGAAAATGAAGATGGCAAACTCTACGTGAAGAAACACCATTTCGCTCTCATAAAAATGGCGATGCTATTGTTAGACTGTCGCACGGAAGCTGCGCGTAAACGCGATGTCAGTAAAGATGCGATCGCGAAAAGCGAGCAGTGTTTGAACACACTGAAAGAAAAATACTGGTCGGTAATAGCCGAGGGTCTCAAAGTGCAATTCAACTTGGTCATGTCGGACCTGGAATACCGGAAAGGGAACTATACAGAGGCAGAGAGATACGCAAATTTGGCAAGAGACATGGCAGTTGAGATGGGCTTCAACACAGAGATTGATCACGCCCAGGAACGCCTTAATCACATACGTGCTCTGACTTGCCAGGAAGCAATATCTGATGGTCCTGTGGGGGGCACCTCACTCTTCAGTGACAGTGAAGGGTGTTATGGTGACGTGAGCAGTTCGTCTGGATACGAATCTGACTGTCTAAATTCTAAAGACCTGAAGATATTAGAGTAGCTGAATGTTGCAACCAATAATAGCTATCTGACTTGACAGGAATCGATCGCGATACAGTTAAGGATGTTTTTATCTTTTTTCACAAACCAAGACATGTCCTGATTTTCTTTGCTGCCTCCGTAGAGTGACGAATGGTAGCACTCTTCAAGAAAAAAAAAACAAAACAAAACAAAACAAAACAGAACAAAACGTTGCGTGACCTGCCCAAAGGATCGTGCGTGCGAGAGAGGATACACGCGAGGGAAAGTGCACAATATATTTTTTTTGACGCTCGCTCATAGTATCAGACGGAAAGGAAGAACAGCATGAGTGAATTGACAATTGCATCTGAAATTAACTTTTCGTTAAGGATTTTTTTATAAAGAGAATATGTTAAAAGGGAAGATCTGCCTCAAGATAAATGTGTTGAAAATATTGATACCAATAATAAGAGTAAAAATAATAATAATAATAATAATAATTATGATATAAAGCAGTACATTTCTATGATTGAAACTTTCATTTAAATTTATTGAAATTAAAGGTTGAATTGAAATAATCAGAGGTTATGATAGATGGGTTTCTTTTTTGTTGAATAATCTCTCTTGACTAAATATCTAATGTTATTTTTGATATGAGCGGAGCCCAAAGCGTCTCACGATACGTCTGCATGGAGCAACGCAAGATCGCTGCGATCCAAAAAGAATTGAGAAGTCTCTTGATAAATTTTAAGATGAACAGCTCTCACAAAAATACAGAATGACTAGCTGACCGGATTTAGGTTATTTCGTTGCACCCCAACGAGTTCTTTGTAGTTCAAAAGTAGAGTAATGCATCACTAAATCCGAAGGTCTGAAGTTCGAATCTGCTCGTCAATTCAGATTTCTTTTTTGCACACACCCGTGACAAAGGAATGACATTTTTATTTTTACTTCCATAAGTTTACACATTGGTACGAAGAGATTAAAGACACAGCTCGTTGAGAAGAATTTCAATGAACGTCGATCAAGGATCGTAAAAATCCAAACTGTTGTGTTCCAATTATATTCCAGTAAATAATATATTCCTTCCAGAATTACATCGTACTCACGAGAAGCATTTGTTCAAAAATAAATTGTTAACAGTGCGTCTCATACACAATTCAAAGTAAAGTTCAACTGAGTATCTCGTGACAAACAAAGCAAAAGAAAAGTCTCTCAGAACAAAAGCCCCCGATTAATATTTAATCAAGCGCAGCCTCTTGGGAAAACCCTTGACGTCCTGTTTTGAACCATGAAAACATAAGATTTAAGAGGCGATCTCTGTAAGAGCGGTCCAGGGTATTTCGCATCTGAAAAAAATTTCCCTCAAACTTTGCCCAATAAACAATCTTTTTTAGCAAATAAATAAAACCACATTAGTTTCTGGAAATACGTTAAAATAAAATTTTTAGAGGTCTCAAAAGTCAAAGCTGCTAAAGGCCCTTTTTTGACCTCTTGCGACATCAAAAATTTCAAAAGTTGAATAACCTGGTCCTCGTATCACACCACATGCAGCAAAAAATCTTTTGTATTTTTAAACTGTGTGATATGTTAGGTGAATAAAAAATATTTCAATTTTGATATTTGTTTATTTAGGGGTTCGTCATAATTTATTTAAAAACACTCGTTTGACAGCTTTCTGAAATTGGTCAAAAGTACTCTTTCCTTCTTGGTTGATATTGCTCAAGTCCAGACCAGACCGTTCAAAACTCCGCTTGATTTCTTCTAATTTGGCTGCAGAAAAATATAAAAACATCTTGCACTTATTAATTTTGTTCGCCGCGGTGACTTCAAACTTTCAGCGATTATGCTAGCGTGACAGCCGATTATGCAAATTAATTTGCAAAATCGCTGAAAGTTGACATTGTACCCGTGAAAAGCATTAGTTCAAAAATGAATTGCTAACAGTGCGTCTCATTCACAATTCAAAGTTCAAGTTCAGCTGAGTATCTCGTGACAAACAAAACAAAGCGAAACCTCTTGGGAATACCCGTGACGTCATGTTTTGAACCTTTGAAGGCTGATCCACGGGATCGCACCGACATCGGTCGTGAAGCTCTAGTTCTTAATTTTTGGCTTTTATTCTCGCCCTCAGATCTTTGTCACATGAATCTGCCGAGGACTTTCGAAACCACTCTGACGAAATGTCTCATGGATGGAAGAGAAAAGGGAAAGCGAGGGAAATATAAATAGTATTCGTGGATTTAAACGGCAACGAAATTTATATTGCGTAGTATCAAATGGCGTTAGCTGTGGGCGAAAAAGGCAAAGATAGAACGATGCGGCGAACCTTGTTGGATGGAAATGAAATTAGAGGTGAGGTAGTTGAAGTGGTTTTGCCGAAAGGGAGAGAAAAAGGAGACTGTGACAGCTCAAGCGTAAAATCACGACCAAACAAAGTCATGCTTAAAACTCAGCCTGTTTGTTTACAAGTTGGCGACGATAATACTGTAGACCTCTTTGACCTCACGATGCAAGCTTATGACTCCGATGGACCTGTGAAAGTTTCCGATGACGAAGAGCTGGTTATTCGTGTATTACGAAGATATGGATCATTCGAAGAGCTTGTACTTGAAGACGATTCGCGAAATCTTCGTCAGGAACTTGATATTCATGCTGATTTTGTGAGGATAATCACTCCAGCCGATGAAAAATCCAAAGTCGAACAATACAATTTGGCAGTAGAAGTCAAAAGTTGTAAAACCCTAATGATTGGAAACAAAAATAAGTTTGTAATCCAAACCGAAGACTTACCGAATGTGTTTGACAATACACAGCCAGTCTTTCGTGTCATCCGATTACCCACAAAGCCTGTAGCAGTTGTGAAGAATGCCAAGGAGTTTCCAAATATCGAGAAAGATCATCTTATCGTTCTTGCAATTTGCGAGAACCGTTTTACAATAAGAGCAGTTGGATGTAGCTTTCCCCAGAGTTCCTCATTGGCAAAATCAAAGAAGATGAAAGACTTTTACGAAGTGAAAATAAGCGTGAGTCAGTGTGAAAAAAATGGAAAAACAGAGGTTAGAGACGGAGTCTTGTTCCAACGAGAATCAGGGCTAGATTGCCTTCAAGGTATTGTTGGCTACTGGTTTCGTTTCCAGACAGCCAAGACGCGCTACATTGTGACATTCTCCTTATGGAAAACGGTGACCGACACATTGGCCAGTGAACTGCTAGATGAGGCAAGAATTGCGGTTGAAACAAGCGAACGAAAGATTCCGCCCAGGAGATTAGCGGCCAGAACGCGTACCCACGTCCATAAACAAAGTGCTCATAAAGTTGCGTCACTTCCGGTTCGAAATCGAAAGGTAACATCATTTCCGGAAGGAAGTGGTACCTCACTTATGAAGACATCCATTTCGGAGAAATGTCAGGCAGTTGAGGAGACTTCACTTCCGGTGGAAAAGATTTCCATAGATTGTATCGATCAAAGTTGTTTCCATACCAGTAATATGTTGCTTTCACTGCTCAATGATGGAAACTGGGATGAATTCAATCAACAGGCTGCAAATTTTCTGAAAGAATTCGCAAACAATGTGGATTTCCAAGTCATTGTTAATCTAGATCAAAGTATGGCGTCCAGTTACCGTGGTGAATTGAGTGCGGCCGAAAGAATTATCAAGGAAGCCATAAGAATTATTCCGAAGACTTCGTCCGCTCTAAGGCCTCTGTTCAAAGCGCGTGCAAGCTATTACTTAGCAAGGATTTACCGAAGGGATAAGAAGATAGGAGAGGCCCAGAGGTGTGTAGATTCAGCCAAGAAGCATATATCATCCTCAAAGGCAGAGTTCCCTCTCGAAGAAGCACGCATTGCTTACGAGGAAGGCTGCTTGCTTCTCGAACGCGCGTTGCGCCCTCGCGAATGCGTCGTTGAGCAAGCTAAACAGACATTTGATCGCTGTATAGGACTTTGTTCGTGTGACTCAAAGGAAGAAACGAACGATTTCTTGTGGAAGCAACATGACCTAGCGCGTATGAAGAAAGCAATGCTGCTGTTAGATTGCCACACAACATCCGGACGAAAGGATCGCTCGATTGACGAGAAAAGTCTTATCGAGGCAAGGCTGTGCCTCGACAGACTCAAAATAAACATTGTTGAGGAAATGTCAAAATTTGCGCAGACCCAATACCACCTGGTAAGATCTGATCAGTACTTCCGGGAAGGGCGCTTTGTTGACACTGACGCGCATGCGCGAAAAGCCCTCGATTTGTCACGCACGTACCACTTTGACATTGGATGCGCAGCCAAGGGTCGATTGGAACATTACAGCAAAATTCTAAACTGCGATTAGCAGACCCAAATGGCGAAACGCTATTAAAATGTCTTAACTAGTACCCCATTCACACCAGCAAAACATGTTTTGTTAAACTGGTTTTCATTGAATGAAAATTATAAACAGAGAACTGAAAAACTTGATTTTCCATTGGATTCAAGTACTAGCTAACTTGCATTTCCAATGTGCTACATTCAAGTCAAAAATATTCGGTTAAATAGTTTCTATGAAGAAAAAAAAAATTAAACTGTGTTTAACAAAACAACTTTTAAACATGTTTAAGCTTTGGTGTGAATGGGGCATAAGTTATTGAATTGATGAAGTTTGTGTGCTCATAACCAAATGTTGAAATATACTATTATGTTACAACGAGCAAGTCTGATCTCTTTTCCTTTTATTCAGTCGAAATTAATCCATGGTTGCATTTTTTTAGACGATTTAACTCCATCACGTTCTATTGGTCTGAAAAACATTCGCTACCTAACCCTTCTCTCTCTCTCCCCCCCCGCTTCAGGGACAAAATATCAACCACTCTCGTATCAGTCACTCGAGCTGAGATGCATTTCGTGATTAATAGGCACGACAAGTGTTTTGAAAGCTTTCGCTACTGCACAAGCCGTAATAAATGTAATTTGAAGCCCTTGAGAGATCGTAAGAGACCATAAGTCACAAAATACTCGAGGAATTTTCTATACTACTACATACATGAATTAAATCTTCATCATCATTGTTCGGAAGCGATAACGAAAATTTCCTAACTGCGACTAAAACTGAAAAAACACAAGCGATAACGAAAATCTCCTAAATGCGACTAAAACTGCGACTAAATTCGACTAGAAATGCGTACGCGTAACTTGCTTACGAACTGATTGACGTTAAATGGTTCAGCGTGCGCGCGCTAATTGTACGACACGCCAGTCCGGTACTTCCTTCTTAACAATCATCATCATCGCTTGTTGCGCCATTAGGCGCATATGGCCGTCACATTATCCACCCAACTCCGGCTTAGCCACATCTCAGCTCTTCCATCCCGCCTCGCTTCTCTCTCTTTCGACAGTCCTTTTCCAAGTGGTCTTTAGTCTCCCTCTCGCCGTTCGACCTTCTGGTGTCCATCCCAGTGCCGTAAAACAGTCGTTCACACCCTCTCTCCTGAGTACGCGTCCTAACCAGTTCCACATTCTTCGCACCTCGCAGCTAATTTCATTGATCTCTGCCATTTCAATTACCTCTCTTGTTTATCATTCCTTGTTGCCATCTAATTCTCAGTATCCATCTTAGGCATTAGCGTTGGAAACTGTTTAGTTTTCTTTCATCGGTCTATGTGATCTTTCATGTTTCACAACCATATAGCAGAACTCTACTCTTCAACCTGTTCGGCATGGGTGACCCTACCGGGAGTGCAATACTCCAGCCGACAGCTCTATAGGGGTCATTGAGACACGCAAACTGCCCCACCACGATAAAGTATTGACCCTACTCGGAACAGCGAATTAAATTTAGCTTGAAAGATAATTCTTAGTTCTCCTTGAGTGTTTCTGCTTGAAGTGACCGTTAAATACAGCTGAAAGACAATACAAAAAGGCCGTTGGGACTCAGTAAAGGGTGACCACGACCGCTCAACAGAGGTGATCGCTCAATAGAGATGAAAAATACAGTAGTTAAGGGTAAGAAATTTCAGGACTTTGAAGACCGACCGCTTAATACAGGGTGACCGCTTACTGCGGTGCCACTTAACCCTTCACACCCTAACGTCGGTATGCATACTCTCTATACAGTCCTCTAAACACTTCCTAAAGTGCTGACAAAGAGAATTTGTCTAACGATCAAGAGCTTCGTTCGTAGGTGACCATTTCCTTTATTCTACTGACCTTAATGTTTGGTCAGGGGTGATTTGGTAAGGAGAAATTAGGTGCCAGTTATTCTTAGGAGTTAAAGAGTAATACAGGTTCGACTGTACTAACAAAGGAACTTAATATATTTTGAAGCACGCGCGGATATGGCTTGGACGAATGAGCGTGACCCCCCCCTATTCTTTTCCTCACGATCATTTGTGCAGAGATGTAAATTCTATTAGGTGCGTTCAATTTCAATTTCAAGGGAGGAAAAACATAACCTCAGCTTATTCCATAAAACTCACGCAATTTATCGGTTACCATTGTAAAATACTGAAGTAGTACGAAGTCTTACATGACTGTGCCCAGAAGTTGATATTGAACGTTGTTCTTACATTCAGGGGTTCAAATCAACGTGTCTTTTATGACAGGTCTGTGCCCGGATGTTGATATTGATCGAAAAATCTTACAATCAGAGGTCTGTGTTGATCGTAAATTTTACATCCAGTGCGTATCCTGTGCTCAGATGTTGATATTGATGTTACAATGCCACATCATGTTAAACCTGTGTCCTAATGTTTATACCGATGGTAAAATGTTACATCTGGGGGTCTGCGTGCAGATGTTGATATCGATCGTGAATGCTTTCGTTACATCCAGAGGTCTTAGATTCTTATCTTACAGCTAGGGGTTTTCAATTGAACCTCTGAATAGCTGCTATGTAACAATGACGACTTATATAAGGGGGTTTTTTGTTAAAATTGTACGGTAGTTTTATAGAAAGGTCTGTTCCCAGCTACTGATATTGATCTGAATGTTTTGTACTCAATAGTGGAACTCGTCCTTTTTTGCACAATGTTTTCTTTCCCTGTTTTGTTAATTAGCTGTCTATTAAGAAGATGCAGAACTACATCGAAGAGCCATAGTTATGCAGAGTAACTTTGATGTTATTGATAATTAATGCTGTGAAATAGATAAGTAAATTTTCTGTGTTTCCTTAAAAAAATTCGTCTCATTAATACTTAAGTATGATGCTCCTCTGAATCGCCAAATGGGTTCACATTTTAGTTAATGTGTCAGGGCAAAACGAAGAGAACGCTTTAAATTGTTTAATCTCATCCCCGAGGGATATTCTACCTGATAATTCCCACGCTATCAAACAAATAGACCTTTAAAAAGACTCTCTGTCTCAGCCTTGACCCTTCAAATCAATTATATCAAGTTGTGATCCAGAACAAACAGTTTGTCGAAATTAATTTTCTTGTTTTTTTTTCTTTTTCTTTTTCCATCTCAGTTCTAAGTTCCCCTGTAAAATTATAATCAAGAAGAGCATGATAAGGGCTTTGATAAGAAATTTCTTGGGTAACAATCTCATCTTGTTTTCACTGATAGCAGATCGCCTTTCTCAACTCTACACAAACAATAGCCTCTATTTGACGCCAAAATATGCACGGATATTTGTGGTTTAGCTACGTGCCATTTCTGCATATGAGATCGATATAACGTAACGCGCAAAACGCTCAGAGTTAGGAATCAGAGGCTTTGTTTTCCGACAAGTCATTGCGTGATGTGGAGAGAAGTGAAGGCAATACCTCATACTCCCTCCTTGATTAATTAATTGTCATAATAATAACTGCGTTCGCAGTTAGCCCATGTTTTATTGACGTTTTTAGAGTCGCATGGCAGTCAAGCAAAACCACTCGAAAACGAGTCAATAGGATCACTTCTATATACACCATATTATGATAATGATACATATAAAAGTTTTTGATGCGACAATCTGTAAGCATTCTTCAGTTGATCATCACACAAGCAATTCGCCGTCTCCTCAGTAGCTGACAAACAGGTTAGAAATATTTGAAGAAGCTCGAGCACAAACATATAGTGAGAATCAAATCAAATTGTATCTTGTTTCTGATCAGATAGGTATTTTAAAATCATCAGTAATAATTACTATAGTTATATTTAGTTTTTTTCAGTGTCTGTCAACATGATCCTTGTACGGCCCAAATAGATCTAGAAGTAGATTTCGAACCAGCGAACAGTTTAGTGGTAATTAGTTCGCAGGGAAGTAGATTTTAAATTCAAAGTTGAGGTGCCAGTAAATAGTTTCAAAGATTTCAGTTAAATTCTCGGTGGCTTTCAGTTCAAAGAATTTCTCAACTGCATGTCTCCATTATATTGGCCCCAAAGCCTCGAGCTTAAGGTTAAGATTAAACAGATAAATGTTGTAAATAATGAATTCATTCACCGTAATCTCAAAACCTTAAAAAGGAGCCATTTTTCTGTTGCAAAACTGATGCGTTTTTCTGGTTGAAAAATAGAGTGGTAGAACCGATGTACTCTTCACTACTTTAACAAGAGTAGAATTATGCCTCAGTGAACTTAAATCGATTAAGCACATAGCAAACAAAGCCTTCGATCATCCCCGAGTCCCTAGGAAAGTAAAGTTCTTTAACATAGGCATAAAGCAGTTTCTTGGAATTTCTTTGCAAGAAAATGTTTTTTTGGTATAAGATAATCTTGGACATAGATTAAAGATATCACCGGTCTGAAGAAAGGAGGTAAAAATTCAAGGATAAAAGCAAAGTTGCGGCAGCCTCTTACGGCAACTGACCATGAACGCCCTTTCGGTTTTGTGTTCACTCCCTGTGACTGAATAAATTATTGGTAACTTTTTATTGGTACGTATGTTCAAAAGAATTGGAATGCTGATAAGTGGGCTTCAGTTGTCATGGTGGTGACGCCCAAGGGTGAAAACGTTGTTTAAAATATGAACTTCCATTTTTCCTAAGTTCTAAGTTCCACTGTACAATTCTAATCAAATAGCGCATGACCATACATCGGTTCCAAGCTTCGGAAACAGTCACATCTTGTGTTCACTGATAGCAGATAGCCTTTCGTAACTGTACAATAGCCTCTATTTGGCACCAAAATATGCACGGATATTTGTGGGTTAGCTTCGTGCCATTCCTCCATATGAGATCGATAACGTAACGCGCAAAACGCTCGGAGTTACGGGGATCAGAGGCTTTGTTTTCCGACAAGTCATAGTCTGATGTCGAGAGAAGTGAAGGCAATGCCTCATACTCCCTCCTTGAACAATTAGTTATCATGATAATAAGTGCGGTCGCAATTAGCCCATGTTTTATTGAAGTTTTTAGAGTAGCATGGAATACATGCAAA